TAAATAATATACTTTTTAAATAGTATTGAAAGAGCAATAAACAAGCATATTATTCGTATACTATAAAATAGTGAAAATTATTAAAATTAATATCATAAGATTTTATATAAATAATATAATAATATTTTAAAATTAATATACTAAAAACACAGATTAAAGACAATGGTTGCGATATTGTAGATAATCAGATAAATTAGTAGCTGCTAATACTGAATTAAAGCAATTAGAAAGTAAACGGACTATACAATGATTAAATTACGTTACAGCCAACTTTAGCAAAAAATCTCGTGGCTTAATTACTAACGAGTAAATAATTAGGCCGACGAATAAAGTTAATGAGACACCATCGCAAACCAAACATGCTCTTTAACGGTTTCACAATTAAAATTATATGATATTGCGTGATTAATCACTGAATAATTAAATAATTTATTTGTATATTAGGTTCAAAAAATACAGGTACAAAGATATGGAATATTATGAAGATGGGCTGACGCCATTTTTGAAATTCCATCCCGATGGTTCCGGCGAGTTGTTTTATCCCAACGGCATATTAGCTATTAGAGTTTACAAGCCAAAAAACCGAAAATGTAATTGAGTCATTTACATAGTGCGACTTATACAGAGTATTTCACTGTTATCCCTTCCATAGATAGTTTCCTCCATAAATTATTTGACAGATTTCGCATCAATTGTTTAAAAAAATGGAACAAATAAAGTTAAATAATAATTACATTGATTTAATTTAACTTGATGCATTAATTATATAACACAATTAAATATTAAATTATATTTCTATTAAATAATTACAATAAAAACCATAAAACTCAAATTATATTATATTATTAAAATAATTTTTGATTTGTATGCCCTACATGAATTTTTATGTTATGAATTGTGTGTCATATATATTTTCTTTTGTTATCCATTATCTAATCAATATTCGGTAATTTTGGAATATTCTGTATATATATATACAATTTATACAATATAACACAGCAACTTCGAATTTATCGTCATCCATCGAAAAATTAAGTATAAATATCAAAAAAATAATGATAATAAAATTGTTAAATATTTTTCAAAATTGCATCGACGATTGGATTAATCAATTTTCGACTGGCGACGATATCATATAAGTAAATATCACCCGTTCTATTATACTAAGAAAATCGGCCTTCGGGGACGGGCTTAAAAAAATCACTGCTATCGATTTCAAGACGATATGTATACTGTGTTCACGCCAGGAGGCAAAGACGCATTNNGGAAGAGGGTCTCAGCTCTTGGCAATATTCGACACTATGGGATACGGTGTCGTTTTCGACGTGGATGGCGCGGCGAGGTTCGTTCGAAAAAAGAATTTACAAAGAATGTTTAATTACTGTCGCGAGGGCCTCTGTCGCTCGACCGATTCACGATTCCAATTACTTCTGCAGGCTATCCTACAACCAGATCGGAGGAATTTTTACGGACAATCCCGCGAGCCTGCCCCTCATTTGGACTTGGAATGCCAAGCCGAGAGAGTCGATACTCGAGACTGTGTACACGGTAGGTGTGAACGCGTTTACCAGAGTTTTTCCCATTTTCCTCGCGTATAGATTTTCGATCAATCATGAATAAGCGAACGGAACTAAAACTTTTCATCTTCTTTAACTTTTCCATCGGATTACGGATTACGGATTGAAAATATGCGAAAACAGCCTTTATATATACGTTGTTCCAAGTCTTGTAAACAAAGTAACTTGAATTTATCCAAACGATTTAAAAAGTCTTTTATAAGAAGAATAACGCGCAAAGTGATTGTCGTCAATCTTTTATGCAAGATTTAGTATTCCAAAATGCTTTTATCGATATATTATATAAAATGAACGAAATAGATTTTTTTCTTTGAAAATTGCAGGAAAGACCGACCGATTGGTTGCAAATGGAATTTTTCTCCGCTACAAATAAATCAGCGAAAAGGTAAGTCGATGGTTTATATACATATATAGAACAGTAATATTTATGCACGACACGTTCTGGTTACGTTTGGTTGACTCCACAGTTCCGGAAATGTTAAGACACCGGTATCACCGTCTAGCTCGAGAAATAAGGAAAAGAAGGTCGTCGAGGTGCAGAAACCTGTTGTCGAGAAACAACAAGAAGAGGTCGGAAGCAAGTATGTCAAGCAAAAAAGTAGAGCAAATTCTATCCGAACAAAGCATTCTGATTACGCGATATGCTACTTTCTTGGATATAAATTACAGCAATACTTTACTAAAAGAGCGCATCATTTAATTATTACCCTATACAAAATAAATATACATATAAATTATGAAAATTTTTATATAAATGTGTGAATGTTTTATATAAATGAAAATTCTATTAATTGTAATTACAGAATATATACTCGTAATCTACTAATATGTTTCCAATGTAATAATAATAAAAGTAAAAACAAAAAAAATATATTTATACCATTCTATAATTACAATTAATAAATAATCAATTTATTTTTAGATCGACCGACAATCAAGATTTTTCCAAAGAGGACATCTGTCACATAAAAGTAATTTGTATGAAATTGAATGAATTTCTTAGCCTGCGAATCATCGATCGAAAAAGCATAAGTTTACGATTTTCTGCTGGAAATAGAAATATCAGGTATTACGATTATTTTTTATACAAAATATGCTTTTTTCGAAAATGATCGTTTTTGTATTGTGTAATTTTCTTTGTTAATTATCTCGATTTTATTTTGCAGGATAGAATTAGGGACAGTTACGAATTTTAATAAAGAAAAAGCATCTTGTATGATAGAAGCAAGCGATTGGAAAAGCGATATGTTAAGGTATAAACTAATAACATAATGCAAATTTCAAAATTGTCATAAAAATTATGTTGCAGATGTCGATTCCAGGAGAATTTGTCCAAAACATTGGAATCGGATAGCAGTCTGTACGATTTAGCTAAGGAGTATCGAAAAGTAAAAAGATTCGCGAAGCAACGTAAAGTTATGATTGCCAAATACAAACCTTTTTCCATGATCAACCGGACGTTCTCTCGATCGTGTAAAGTGAGGAACTAGAAATTTTAAGCTACACAGTTGAAGAAATGCATTCCATAAATATCGAAATTTTTTTCAAAGACATTGTTTCAATGTAATATAAAGGATATATAAAAAATAGTTCAAGGAGAAGAGAGGGGGACGCATTTATATAAATAAAAATGTTCATGTAATTAAAATAATTCTCAAACAATTAATTGTTATCTTAACGGATGTTCGTGAATACATTTCTCGCGCTGGTATAATAACGCATACAACACACACTTATTGCATGTATGATGTCATACGTCTCACGTGTACATATCAGTATGTACGAACGTTTGTGTTGTATATGTATGTATGTATGTATATGTATACGTGTGTGTGTGCTTAAGACACATACGTAAAACATATTCCCAATTCCCGGGAATATTCCTAGACGGATAACTTAAGTACTAAGCAAAGTAGGAAGATCGTATAATTTTGATCAATAAATTAGGTTAGATCGATCCGGATATAGAGTTAAAAAAAGGAATATAGAGAGAAATATAGAAAAATAATAAATAGAGTTCTCGTTGAGTTTGAAGCGGCTCAGCGAGCGTTCCACGATCGAATAGTCGATTCTTCGCTCTGAATTAAACTTTTAGAAGACAGGTATTGCGTTTGGACGATTTTCTGCGAACCAATTTCGAGACAAACATGTTTACCGGGAGCGTTCGCTGAACCGTTCGAGATCGCGAAAACGCGAAATGGTATCGTCGACGTCGACGTATGACGTCGAGCGTCCCGACGCGGAGTGTGATAAACGCGACGAGATACGATAAGAACGATGAAGAGAAACGCATTCGTTGAAGTATACGATGCGTGTATAAATAATAGCGTGTACGCACGGTGAATCGGAGAAGAGACGCGAGACAAGCGGGTCCTGAAGGGCCATCTGACTACTCGCGCGACTTATTTACAATGCCCTCCTAAAGACTACTCTGGCGATTGCGAATGATCCCTCGCTTCCTGATACCGAGGACGGACCGTTGCCGAAGTGTGAAAATTACGTTGATTACTACCGTGCTGCGGTGATCACGAAGCGTCATCGGAGATCGATTCGCGATATTTATTATCACTGCGGCGCGCGTTCCATCGATCGCGAAACTGTTCGATATGGAAAAAGTGATTCCGTTCGCGAACGATCGGTGGAACGCGCGTCAGTGTAGTTTCTTTCTCATTTACCTTCCTCTCATTCCGTTTCTCCATTTCTTCATTAAGTTTGCTTCCGGACTTTTTATTTACATGCTACTCAAAGATCCGCCTCGTACGATCGCACTCACGCTTTCTCGATCGATAGCGATCTAGTCGTTCTATTTCTCTGGATTCGACGAGGGCGATTGACGCAACTAGACTAGACACGAAGTTACCATGATGGAAGAGGAGAGAGAAGAGAAATGCGATTTTGCAACTTTCGACAAGGAGCATCTTCGACGTGTCACAAGTTTCGGATGAAATAGTGTCGCGATACGGTTCCGAAGTATTGCCGGTCGTTCGAGGTGGACGATCCTCTGAAGGGGAGATTCCGTCGTCGTCCTCCTCTCCTGCGACGAGTCCTTTTTTGATTCTGCGCACCGTATATGCCGTTTCAGTTAGCGACCTTTACAAACTCCGGATTCGGCACGCTGCAATTCTCCGCCACGTATGCCGGATGTACGAAGCCGTTACCACCTATCGCGGCGTTCTTCCGGTCCACAGCGCGCACCCTGACAAAGAGGAAGGCCGCCACCAGGGAGGCAACCACAACCACCAGCAGCAGCATCACCAGACCGCCCACGAAACCAGGCAGACTCATGCAAATCGTCTCCGGATCGGCGGACGCGCTGGCGTTCTGTATCACCACGGTGGTGTCGTTGCTGGAATTCGTCGTGCCCAGCGCAAAATTAACGTCACCCGGCGCGACCACTTGGATGACTCTCGAGGTATTCACGTCCGTCATCTCCTGCGCCGCTCGTTTGTACACGTGGGTGGAGAACAGGGTCACCGTGTGATAGACATTCTGAAAATCGAGGATAACCGTTGTAATGCCAAAGAATTCGCGTCGTAGTAGGATATCAAACGGTACCATAGAACGCGTCATTGATAATGTATTTCGTGATGAGCGTACTATGTGGGCAAATTGGAAGAAGATACTTTACGTTAATAAGTCGAGTCTATAACAACTCTAAAGCTTTGCTTTAAATTTTTACTTTGATCTCACATTCATTGTTTCTATATGTATATATTAATAAAAAATAAATTTAAAGAAAAGAAAAAAACACTTACACTATCGTCGTCTTCTAACTCGTGCGGCTCGTCGTGCCTTCGCCTCCTGGCGCCTCTGAGCTCGGCCGGGAAACCTTCGACCGATCTCGGTCGACCTCCGAGGATGGCTAGGTTACCTTCAAGCTCCTCCGTACCAGCGGTACCCTTTCGCTTCACAGTCTGGTACGCCGCCGGATGGCCGGGTAGGGGAGGTGGAGGGAGATGGATATTGTCCTGGGGACTCTGGGGTGAGCTGCTCGCCGTAGCGTCGCCCGGCGTAGAGCTGGGTGAAGAGGACGAGGACTGCGCCTGCGGTGCCGGAACCACATCTGGATTCGGTTCGCTGCGGGCAGAAATTAATTTATTACGATATTGTTTTGCAACGATCTCTTCTCATATATTCCAGCTAAAAAATAATCTTTTAATTCGAATAATTTATTTAAACATCCAGTTGTGATAAATGTATATTAACGTCATGATGTTTATATATGTTAGACATTTTGTTCATCGATTTACTCTTATTTTAAAGAAAGTATTGCTTATATAGCGATAAAAGTTTGCAAGATATACTGCAATCTTAATTTAATATTAAATGTCTGTATATTTATCAGTATACTATATCTTGCACCGTAAAATGCGTGTGTTTTCGCGAATAAAATATTCGAAAAAATATTTCATAAAAGTATGCATAAAAATTATAGAAAAAACCCGCGAAATAATCTGAGAAAATATTTTCGATTTTATAATATATATATCTTATTTTAAT